AAATGATATGTTAGTCGTGTTTCGTTAGCTCAATGGTAAGAGCACTGGTCCGGTTAACCAGCTATCGTGTCTTGGGTTCGATTCCCGAACGAAACATATCATTTTGTTTTTCTGAATGAAAAATTCAAACATCGAAAGATAAAAGGAAGAAAAAAGTATATCATAAGGTGTTCTTTATCAAGGCATGTCGAAGATATAACTAACTATCAATCGGAATCTCAAATAAAATAGGAAACAACTGAGAAATCAATAAAATACCAAAATTTGATTTCAGTAATGTGTGAGTATCAAAGACATATTAGTATTTTTCTCCATCAATTCTCACCCTATAGGGCTAAAAGTTTCAGGATAAGTTGAGTAATCAAACATGTATCTGTGATATAAAAATTGGACTGAATTGTAATAGTATGGAGAAATAATCGAAAAAATATAGTGTGTAGTTTATTTTGAGTAGGAGAATATATTCTTTATATTATTGCAAAGATGGATTCGATGTAGTTATAATTATAAAAATAATATACAAGTGGGGTTAAGATCTCACAGATCCTAACTCGACTATAAAGACCCATATGGGCGAACTCTTTTAGACTTTCTGTAGCTTTGCCGAGATCTTCTTATGATCCCAACATCAGCTCAAACGGCAAGTATTGGTTTAATTGAATCTCGTTTTTAGAAGAATTGTTTAATAAAAACAATAATTCATATTATTAGTTTTATTTCGTGAAAATCATTTTCTCTTTATATCATGCTCTTCTACTTAGGATACTGAAATTGGTTAATAAAACAGCTAACAATCGGTAATACTGATCAACATAATTTTAATACTCTTCAAGCAAGTCAACAATACACTATTTTCAGTAAGTTTAATTAGCTAATATACAATTAAATATGGTAAATGAATATGTTTCTTTTAAAAATTATCATAAATTATTAGATAACAATCAATATCATGTACCCTTTAAAGTTTAATAATATATTATTGGTAGATATCATTATTTTTTTTTCAAAATAAAACATGTTTGCGAGATAACAAGAGTTCTCCATCATCATTTGATAAGAATGATGTATATATATATATAGTTATATATTTTCAACTTCATTATAGAGTTAGAAAATAAAAACAACAAAAATGGTGCAATTTATGCAATATTTTCTCCATGTACAAGATTCTTTAATCGAGCATAATTCGTCAAGTAATTCTTCATATCCATCTTCACCTGCTAAATGGTGTTTTAATGATATTGATGGACATAAACTTTGTATTCGAAGTCCTACACTGATCCCAACATGTATTTTAGCTTTATTAATTGGTATTTTCTGTTCTAAAAACATTTCTAAATTACCTGAAAAATTTTCAACACGATGGCTTTATCAATTAACGTTTTTTCTATTTGGCATGATGATGACATCAGCTGGTATATTACATTGTTTTTTAGGTGATCCAAACAAATTATTAGATCCTCTTCGAAATAGCGATACTGATTCATTTCTATTTTTGCAATTACTCTTTGCAATTATTGTTGCTGGTTTAACAACAAATGTTGCTATTAGTTTTTTCTTTTGTGGTTTATGTGATATTAATTTTTTAAATCCAAATTCACGTTCTACAAGTTTTCTACTCATTGGTTCATATTTTACTGTTTTTGTTTTATGGACTTTAGGAATATTATTTCAATGGTCTTGGATATTTTATGTTCTTTACCTTGGAGTTATATTATTTTGTTGTTTTACTTATCTACTTACACAATTAGCTATTAAATCGAATCATAGTGCTTTACCTGCTCTAATTGTTGGTGGATGCTATGGAGCTATTGGTTTATGTGCAGTAACATTTGGTGAAAAATATATTTGTAAATTAGAAGGTCCATTTTGGTCACAATATATTGGACCTAATTTTCTCTGGTTTCTATTTTCGGATGTTAGTATGGCTTTTATATTCATATATGTTATACGAGCTAATCGAGAGAAAAAAGTCATTATCGAAAAATATCATATTGATGTTGAAAAAAATCAAGAGTAGTTTTAAGTTGGTGTTTTTTTTTCGTGTTGTCATAATCCTTTGTTTTTTTTTTTTGTAAATCATAAGTAAACTTAATTTTGTGATTAAAATAAATACATGAAAAAAATAATGAATACCAATATTCATTGATATATATGTTGGCGTCCAATGTCGGATTCAGTCCAATCTCGGATTGGCCTAGGCGAATCGTAGATGCTTACATTGGACTAGTCCAATATCGGATTGATGCAATTCGGTTCACTAAAATATCAATTACTCTTGAGATAGACGTTGGATTCGAATTATTTTTTTTTAAGTATGTTCGCACGGTGGCGTTTTAAGTATTGCAGGTATTCAGGAAGAAGCCAAATTTAGACTGAAGAACTTTATAACAGCTTTTCATAAAAGTTGTTGTTCTATAGAAATTTATTCATAACTCCCAAACTTTTACTTAAATCTTTCCAACAACGATAGTGACAAACAAATTGGCATTGTGTGAACATAATTTCAAAAAGTAATTCGAATCGAACATCTATCTCAAGAGTAATTGATATTTCAGTGAACCGAATTGCATCAATCCGATATTGGACTAGTCCAATGGAAGCATCCGTGATTCGCCTAGGCCAATCCGAGATTGGACTGAATCCGACATTGGACGCCAACATATATGTATATACAGTAGTTATAATAAGTCCTACTACTAGACAAAAAGGATCTAAACTTTAATCCTGTAATTTCATAATTTAACTAAAAGTGGAGCATGTGAAACTCTGACGATAGTAACTAATCAAGACTTAGTCGATTTTCATACGAAGAAGCTAGAAGATCGACACAGATTTGCTCTTCAAACGAGGATATCTCATCAGAGAAAACATCAGTCAAATACAAAACAGTACTTTTTGAATATCTCAAGAATCTTGTTCACTTTGCTTTGGCTTGAATTACTTAATATTGGAACCACTATGCTCATGTATAAGGGGTAAAACAGACAGAGAAAAATGAATTAAATTAAAGTTGAATTAAGCGATGTGATTGGTCCATTCCGACTTAAATCATCTTTTCTAGACGATTTATTCGTTAATTCAGTTTTAAATCGTCTTATTTTTCTCATTCAGTCTGTTTGGAGCCTAAGTGGATGTCGAAGAAGATATTTAAAGATTAAATAACTCACTGAATTATAGCAAAGTATCTCAAACTTAATAACAATAATATTGTTGAATATGATTGATAGAACGATCGCATTTGGATGAGTATAGCTTAGAACAGATGTCACTTATATCATCTAAAAATTCAAGTTAACACCAATGCCTTTTGATAACGTTCCACAAAAAACTCGAAGTATTATTCAGATAAATCAAACATTGTTTAAAAAGATTCTTAAACATTTTCTTTCTTCATTTTATTGAACATCGTAATTTCTGCAATTGTTCAAATATAGAATCACTGATCAGACAATTGATCGATTGGTTAATCCCTTTACACAAATAAAATACGTTTATTTATCCTTCTAAGCAATGTTCTTTGTTAGGATAAACTATGGATCATTGTCTTATTTATGGGATCAGTTTATATTGAATAGATTTCCTGTCAATGTACTTCCAGATATCGACAATGAACGAGCAGCGGCCACCACCGCCACCCGTACGTGTCGATTCAATCTCAGGGTAAAATTCATATTGATTTTTTTTCGTAAGAATTTTTCTTCATCTTTTAATTTTGATATCTAGTCTTGAAATGAAGCCTCTTCCTCGTCGACCAGATGATGAATTAAATAAAAAGAAAAAAACCAATAGTAAAGGTAAAAACAAAAAAATTTTATTCTTTATTTTATATTTCCAACATTTCTTTTGACATTGAATAGATTGGACAAAAAAAGATCCATCAAAATTAACAATATCTCGACCAACAAATTTTAATCATCCTATTCATGTAACATATAATTCATCAACAGGTGAATTTGATGGTATGCCAGAAATTTGGTCAAGTTTATTACAAAGTTCAAAAATAACTAAACAAGAACAAAAACAAAATCCACAAGCTGTTATTCATGCATTAGATTTTTACCAACATGCTACACAAAAAAGAGAATCAAAATTTATGTATTCATCTTATAAGAGTAAATTTTTTTTATTTATTTCATAAATAACTTTAAAAAAGAAAAGAAAACTCATTTTTCTAGATTTAACACCACCTATATCTGGTGATTTAGCTGATAAATTTCGACAAACAGTTATTCTTGTTTCAGATAAATCAATATCAGTAAAATAAAATTAGAAATTCATTTTTATAGAAAATTTTTATTTTCTGATTTTTCTTTAGTCACATGACCAAATCTCAAATCGTCATGAGAATGATCAATTACCACCACCTATTGCTGCAAGACCAGAAAAAACTAAAAGCATTGTATATATTTTTATTTTTATTTTTCTTCGTTTTATTTTCATTTATTAGATTATTAATCGAAAGAATGAAATAGAAACTAATAGTACTGTTAGACATTCATTATTAGACAGGCACCCTCATTCATGGACATCATAATGATTTCTTTTTTCTACTTACGTAACCTTAACTTCTTTGATTATCTGATGCAATATAAACATTGAAGAAGGTCTGCTTTTTGCCGAACAAATGAAGAATGATCTAATACATTATATAATAGAAGAAAAAGTGTTTTTGATCACTAATTTTTTTTTCAAGTTATAATTTTTCATTATCTCTTCTTGGATACTTCTACATAATAAACACTTGAGATAGGATTGGTCGATTTCATAATATACTAAATTAACTTCGGGTGTGACTTGATTGATTCTATCTCTAATGTATACATATATATAACAGATGAAAATTATTTGAAATAAGACAAGCGAGTTGAAACAAAAATGATGTAGTTTTAGTTATCCTTGATGGAGTTGTAAAAATTTCATTTTTAGTTCTTTTCTCTTCATCCACATTCAACAATTGATTTTTAGAGATCAAATGAATTAGTATATGATCAAAGTCATTAGTAAATGAGATGTGTATGTATTTGTAGAAAAATGATATATACTTTATTTTCACTAATTGACGTAATTGACAATGGGAAACATCATAAAATGAGAATGAGGTTGTCATCAGTCTCAAGCAGTACTTACATTTTATTGCAAAATATCAATAAGAAATAAATGCTCAAAAAATTTGATAATCAGACGTATCGTTTACTTGACGATCAAAACTTTTTTCATACATTTAATAGAACGCAAAGTTGAAAGAAATCTAAAAACTGACCTAAACTGGTAAGTTCGAATTTTCTGTGATTGTTTCAGTGCTTCTTTAAGTGTTAACATTCAACTTCGCCTATTGATATGTTCTAGTGGAATTATCCCGATTAAGGTTTATAACTGTGGAAAAATTGTGCAGTTACATAATTCGATGATTATAAACTTGTTTTCATCGAAAGAAAAACAAAAGACAACCATCATTAGATAGGCAATATTGAGACTTGACAAAATCGTAAAGGTATTATATCCATAGGTTTTTACTTATGCCTATTTTTATGAGCTGACCAACGAAATATCGTGATTCACTACAGGTCATCGTTACAATTTCGTCGTGAGCATCATTTCACATGAACTATTATCAGTTGAGAACGTTTGAAATTCTGACTCATTTGGATCTCATTCTGAGTCTAAATCTCAGAGAATAAATGCTAGAAGAAACAATGATAAAAGTTACTGTCAATTATCTATTGGAACTTCAACTGATTAACCTCTATTTTTATAGGTTTTACACACAATAGATGTCGAAATTCATACTATATGAAAGATTCATTTTTGTTTTATGACTAGTCAGCCGATTCAAGCATCTCTCTAGGCATTGTTGAAGAGATTTAATTAATTTTAATTACATATTATTCTTAATTGAATTTTAATGCAATGAATGGAAGAAGAACTGAAACAGAGTTGATCGCTAAGCTACAGTGATTTCATATGGGAATTTTTTACTACAGCTTTCGATAATAGGACAATTAGGTTCGTTATTTCATTCGATTTCTTTTTTAGACAATCTGTTCATGCGTTACATATAAAAGATGCGGTTACTATTTCTTAAAATAGAAAACTAATTTTGCGACCCAGAGAATTTCTTATTACATGGTCAGTCATTTAGTTGCATTTTATTTTTCAATAATTATGTTTTTTTTTATTTGTATCAAAAGTTCTATTCCAGGAAATCTCTATTTAACATTTATGGAAGTATCGAAACCGAATAAATTGATGCATTTTAGTATATTTGAACACATCTATTGTACTTACTAATGAGCATCAGTTTTTAAAAGATCGTTAGATATTATTCATTTCATTCATTAATTATAAAGTTATAGTTATAATTTCATAAAATTAACTATGGAAATGAAAATTTTATTTACTTTTAGTATACAAGACCAATTGATGATGATAATAGTAAATCAGTACCAACAAATGGAGATAAATCGAAACGTAAACAATTAAGTGATGAAGAAATCTATGGAAAATTACGATTAATTGTTTCACATGGTGATCCTAATAGAAAATATAAAAGTAAAGATAAAATTGGACAAGGGTAAGAATATTTTTTTTTTTTGCATAATTAATAAGATATTTCTCTCAATTTTTTTCTTTAGTGCTAGTGGAACAGTACTATTAGCATATGAATTAGCAACAGGAGAAGAAGTTGCCATCAAACAAATGAATTTAGCTAATCAACCAAAAAAAGAATTAATTATTAATGAAATAGCTGTTATGAAACATAATCGACACATAAATATTGTTAATTATAAAGATTCTTATTTACTTGATGAAGAACTTTGGGTAGGATAAAAAAACGAAATATAGTAGTCGCAAGAAGTGCCACTATTGAGTGACAAATATATAAACTTCAATCCTTTCATTTAATTTTTCCACTACAAATAGAGTTCCATAAATCCTAATCGCAAGTATCAATCTGATGTTGATGAGCTTTAATGCAAAGAAGTTATGATGAAAACACTGTTTTTCTTCCTAGAACACAACAAAGATTTTTTTTGACATTTTTCTGATATGTCACTGTTGAAATGCATTAACCTTTATTTTTTTTTTATTAAAAAATAAAGATTCACATAACTATATTGTGTGATAGATAAAGCACTTCAATTCATTGTAATCTTCAAGTACAAGAAAGTCTCCATTGTCTAGAATGGTTTCAGCATAGATCTCTTCTCTATAGATGGTTGAGATAGTAAAATTTTGAGGAAGAAATTGATTAGAGAAAGGCACACACTGGAGAGAATTCCAAAGTTAATGGTTAAACTGAGTCATAGGTATCGATCATTTTTCAATGGCTTCATAAATCAGGTAAACTAAAACTGTTTAACATGAGGTTTTCATCGATGATAGAGGCAGCATTGACCTATCAAATAGGGGGGCTAACGTCATGCAATTTTTTTTCTGTATTGAAATATCTTCATTTGAAGAACAAATCTATGCCGAGTGCCTAATTCCTTTTGAATAAGAATTGGTCAAGCCCTGATTAATTGTTTCGATTAGAATTTAACATGCTCTATTTATGTGTCAAACTATGAAACTAAAAAATTATAGTCCAGATACTTTATATTGAGACCTCTGAAAAGTACGAATTCACTCACGAAACTCAAGTATTTGTTGAAATTTAGGTAACAAATCAATCCTAGCATTTGAAACAAAATTGACATGATCATGTTTGGTTCACTTATAGATTTTAAATAATTGCAATAATGTTCGTGGATTTTCAAACATATGTGAGGCTGTACATCTAGAGAGAATCAAAGCCGAAATCTAAACTCACGTTCACATCGTTCTGTGAGTAAAGGTGCACTTTTGAGAGTTTCAGAAGTTCAGAACTCACAAGAACAATCCACTGCTGTTTTTACCTAGTAGTGAACCTTTTGCGACTATTGTGATAAAGTTCTTTTTTTTTTCATATCTACTTTATTAATTATATGTAATTTAGGTTGTTATGGAATATCTTCCAGGTGGATCATTAACAGATGTTGTTACTGAAACAATCATGGAAGAAGGACATATAGCAGCTGTATGTCGTGAAGTTTTACAAGCTTTGGAATTTCTTCATAAAAATCATGTTATTCATCGAGATATTAAAAGTGATAATATTCTATTAGGAAATGAAGGCAATGTCAGTATGTATTGATATTGATATGAATTAATTGATAGATATTATTAACAAATATTTAGAATTAACTGATTTTGGATTTTGTGCACAAATTAATCAAGATCAAACGAAACGACAAACTATGGTTGGAACACCTTATTGGTAAGAGAATATAAAGAATTCTGACGTAATAAACTTAAATATTGAAATGTAGGATGGCACCAGAAGTCGTCACTCGCAAACAGTATGGGCCAAAAGTAGATATTTGTAAGTATCAAAAAAAAAATCATTATTTTATATCATGAAAAAGTTCTCCGATTAATTAAAGGGAGTTTGGGAATTATGGCAATTGAAATGATCGAAGGAGAACCACCGTATCTTAATGAAAGTCCATTGAGAGTAAGCTAATATTTTGTAAAATGTAAGATTTTTTTGTATTTATTTTCAATTGTAGGCTCTTTATTTAATTGCAACTAATGGTAAACCGGACATAGTTGGTCGTGAAAAACTTTCACCATTATTTGAAGATTTTCTTGATCAATGTCTTGAAGTAGATGTTGATAAACGTGCTACTGCATCACAACTTCTTCAAGTTTGTATTTTTTTTTTCAAATTTTTATTCAAAAAACGAAATAGTAAAAATCTCTTTTCTTTTCTTTTTAGCATCCTTTTTTGAAAATGGCAAAACCATTAGTAAGTCTAGTACCTTTGATAAATGCAGCAAGAGAAAGTATAAAGCGTAATGCTTAAAACATATCTATAACCGAGTGTCAGATACATCTGTTTGTTTTCCTTTATCGTACTTCTTACTATTTATTCTATACATTCTTATGTTTTGCTAATTAATAATTATATCTATATTCTATTATGGTGCATTATAAACATTTTTTTCTTGCTCGCGAATGTGTTTTCAAAGATTTTGTTTTGTTTCATGAAATTGTATACTAATACTATTGTTTGTGTTGATGAAGACTATTTGTAAGTAAAATTGAATAAAATGAAAATGATTTGATCAAGTTCTAACTTATTGAGAATTATATCTGATATCTTCTGCTTTGGATTCATTTAGCAGAATTGCATCAACATAGATATACTGAACAAAAAATATTTGCAGATGAAAATTATGTTTATCGGAAAAAAACATTAAAAGTTAGAGTGAACAAGTTCACTAATAAACAAAAAGAATTATGTTAGTATCACGATCGAGATTCTGAATTATTAACAATGAAAAATTTGGATATTTGTATTCTTTTTGCAAATATTTTTCAAAC